CACTAGCAGGGGCCTGGTGCCCGCAGTGGGGGTCGCACACAGCCTGCACTCACTGTTGCCAAGGGCAGGGGGCCCCGGGCCCCAACGCTGCAGGAGGGACTTGAAGGGACGAGGTGGGGCAGAGGGGGCATTGTCCCAGCACGGGGAGGAGTCACGGGGGGAGGTCACATGGCTGGTGCCCCCTCTGCCTTCTTCTGCACCAACTGCCTGTCTACACTGCAGCCGTAAGTGGTGTTAGGTCAATTGCTGCGGGTCCCCCCCACGCTGCCCGGCTGCTGGGAACGCACCCTCGCGCTGCGCCTGCCTTGCCTCGAGCTGTGCCAGGCTCACCCCTGGAACCCGCCGCTCCAACCGCCTGCCCGCCCAAGGCCGGGTCGCCGGCGCTTAGCCTGGCACGGGGCTGGCAGCCCACAGCTGCCCTCGGTAAGGCAGCCCCACCGCCTGAGAGGGGACTGGGGGTTGCCCAGGGCAGAGGAACCAGCCCCAGCGGGGGCCTCTGGCGCTAGCAGGGCAGAGAGCAGCGAGGCGCCCGGGCAGCCCCGGCTGCTGAGTCACTCCGGGCAGACACTCACAGCTGCTGTGGGATGCGCCTGCTTCTTTGTCACTGTGGAGCTGGCAGCATGACAGACCTGCTGCTCTGACTCACCGGCTGGGGAGCGGCAGCTGCTCCTGGCTGTGCAGAGGGCAGCGCCAGCTCCCTGCCAAAGGGCCAAGCACGTCGCAGGCCCCACGACTCAGGCCAACAGAGGATCTCCGTCCAGTTGTGCAGGTGGGGAAACTGAGGTACCTGGGAGTAGAGCCCAGGAGTCTTGCTCTAAGCCACTAGCCCCCTCTCCTCTTGCAGGGCCAGGGAGGGAACTCAGGAGTCCTGGCCCCCAGAACCATCCACTCTAACCACTAGGCCCCACTCTCCCTTGGTGCTAGGGACAGAACCCAAGAGTCATGACTCAGTGCCCTAGCCCCCCCTCCTCTAACCACTAGGCCTCTTTCCCCTGCTGAGATGTGGGGAGAACCCAAGTGTCCTAGCTCCCAACCTCCCTGCTCTAACCACTGGGCCCCACTCCCCTCCGGAGAACCCAAGCGTCCTGGCTCCCAGCCTGGTCCCACTCAGTGGCTACGTCTACACTGGCACCTTTTTTCGGAAATGCTTAAAACAGAACAGTTTTCCGTTATAAGTATTTCCGGAAAAAGCACGTCTACATTGGCAGGATGCTTTTCCGGAAAAGCACTTTTTCCAGAAAAGCATCCGTGGCCAATCTAGACGCGCTTTTCTGCAAAAAAGTCCCGATCGTCATTTTCGCGATTGGGGATTTTTTGCGGAAAACAAATCTGAGCTGTCTACACTGGACCTTCTCCAGAACAGTTTTCCGGAAAAAAGGACTTTTGCCCGAACGGGAGCAGCATAGTATTTCCGGAAAAGCGGCTGATTTCTTACAGTAGATCGTCAGTGCTTTTCCGGAAATTCAAGGGGCCAGTGTAGACAGCTGGCAAGTTATTCTGGAAAAGCGGCTGA